AATTAGCCAAAACAATCCTGTTTACTCTGGTTTTAATGACAGTGGCTCCAATGTTGTAGTATCACGTTCAGTTCTCTCAAATCTGAAATACATCTGCCTTTAACAATGCTTTCACGTTCACTGAAAGTTTTAAATACAACACAATGAGGTGAACTATCTTTTGGTAAAATTACATACGGAGAATATTTTATGTTTAAATAATATAGTTATGAATGCCTTTAACAATACTTTATATCTGAGGCCCCAAACTATGGTTACCTCAAGTAGTCCTAAATCCCATTATATTAGTGAATCATTAGAGTACATATCCATGCTGGAGTAACTGCTAGTATGCTGCACATAAGTAAAACAGTTCTTACTCATTTCAAGTTTTAAGCAATTAGAATGAAGACTAAAAATTGTCTGCATATCTAGAAGTCCCGTATAAATTCCACTTCCTTAATATCACCACCCAGGGTGTTAACTACACCAGCGCCTACCTGTTTCTAGAAGGTGACTCATAAATCATAGATTTTTTTGGACTGAAACCAAAACCACCCAAGTAATCAGTGCCTAAGTCCTTTCCATAGCATGTCTGAGAAGTTTTTTTTCCAGCCTATGTTGACATTCCTGGAGTGACAGACAGCACTTTCCCTCCCAAGATGTGTGCTTTCATTTCTGGACAGGTCTGATTATTAGTAAATTCTAATACTAAACCAAGAAATCTCTCTTTCAACTATCAGCCCTTTAAGGGCAAATATTCTGTAGTTTGATTGACAAGGAATATTTGAAGATGGCAATAAGTACATTCATATTCTTATTTTCTGGGCAAAAATTCCTCAATTCTCTATATTTCTCCAATCATTTCTAATTTGTTGATACAGATTGTTGGCTTACTTTTAACCACTGGCAAACATTAATCTTTGCTTCTTACCACTTCCTGGCTTCTAAACTTGACACACTGGCTCTTCCAGTTGCTGCCTAATTATTTGTTCCACTTCCATCTAACCAGCTTAGAACAGTAAACCTCTGTGTCACCTTACATGTCACTTTTGAAAAGAGAGTAGATATATAATTTGATAAAATTCGATTTTCAAATACCTGGTCATCACTAAGTACCTAATCTCTCCTTTGCCAAGTAAAAAATTAACTTTTGTATTTGTTTAGTACAATTTGTTGAACTGGACTAAAGTCAAGAGACCTGAGTTTTGTTCTGCCTTGGTGGTTCTCAGTTTTCTCATTTGTAAAATGAGGGTGTTGATGGTCTCTAAACACTCCTCTAATTTTTAACCTCTATAGGAGTGCTCACGTCCATATGTTGTAGAACAAAAAAAAAACTCCACCTAATTACTTTCAGCATATGTCAGCAAAACTATTAACAACAACAAAAAATTATGAGAGGGTTCAAACTACCTGTACTTCATATGTGAGTTGCTTCAGTGGATTAAAAAATTATCTATAAACATATATACTATTATATAGGGTATGGCAATGGAGTCTGTACACAGTAGGTTAATAAAATTGAAGTAAAAAGCTGAATAAAATAAGATTATTTGAGTAGGCCTAACTCTTATAAAAATTTCTGGCATTTGAGCATAAGAACCAAATAGTGCAGCAGATAAAATCATTCTCCTTTAAGCAGAGCCCAGAGCAAGGAGAACACATTGCTCATAACTGCCTTCTGGAACATTTTTCTAGGCATAAGTGTATGCACTATAAATTAATACCATTCTACCTTACCAAAAAGAATATGGGTTTCTTTTTTTCTATGTACCATCTAGAGAATACCCACTGAAAGTTAAATAATAATGAAGCTCCACTGAATGGTTTAACTTCAGGAAGCATCAGTGTCGGGACCAAAACGTATATTCTATGAGATTTAGAATACAATGCAATTGCTCTCATTATCCAAAAAACAATTGCTGAAATGCACATGATGTGAATACTTTGAGACCTGGAATAAAGTGATATCAGCTGCTCACTGTGTTTCATTAAAGCTCATATATACACACAACTTCTTACTTCCCAGTTTAGCCTCTGTAAAAGCTACATGGTCTGTTCTTCTGTTCATGATTTGTTTTTCTCCTGATTTTATTTCTTTTTGGGGGTTCACATTTATTTCATACATTTTCCTAACATTAAACATATAATCTAGGATAACTGTATTGTTTATTGATTGTATTTTATTGATGTGGTGGATTACTTCAAAGACTACATCAAAAAATTTGCCACTGATTTTTCCTTTTGAACTGCTCAGAGACCTAATAATTGTGGCTTTTGAACTGAATTGCCAAACACCTCTTTCAAAAACCTTACATTCCCTCTTAAATGATGGAATCTCTCTCTACACAAATGTGAACCTCTATTGCATAGAATCAGAAGACAGAAGGGGTGCATGTGCACCCCTGATCATGTTTCTGAAGAGAAAATCAAATAGGCTACCAAAGAAAATGAGCATTAAGTGATATAAAAGCATCAATTTCACATAGGAAAGTTTTAGTTTGTTGCTTTTGGTATGTTTTTCCTTTGTGGTGGGGAGAAATGGTAGCATTATGAATGCAGAAAGAATATTTGCACCAAAGATATGCAGAAATATGACCTGCAGGTGTCTGAGCAACCAAGAAGAGAACATCTAGAAGGCAAAAATCAGAGGAGACTGTAAGCTAAGACTGAGATGCATTATGGGAGCTAAGCCAAAAGTATCGGATATGGCCAATGACCTTATTTGTCAGGGACTGGAGTTCAGTGACTGATTTGGAAGGATACTCAAGCCACAGGCTAATGTGAAAGTCTCAGATACTACAGACTGTGGAACATGTAGGAAGACCATTTCTCTACAGCAATGATAGGAAGTCTCTCACTGTACAGTAATAAGCTGCTCAACACAATGCTTGCTGTTAGGCAATGACAGATTATTAGATAAGCATCTCCCTTTTGGTATATGAACACTCAAACTAAGTAGGGTGTCTTCTCCCCCCCTAAAGCACTGCCCTTTCATGCCAGGGTTTTGAAATGCATTGCTTCTGATTTCATGTAGCTTACTTCAGCAGTGAAAGATAACTATCTATAGGTTGAATTTCTCTTGGGAGCTCTTATATTTCTGAACAATTTTTATGAAGAGCTACCTTAATGGGCACGCATATTCTCCCCAAGGCAGAGACTGTTTTTAATACAATGTTAGGGCTCATCAGTAGAATTCCAAGTATTGTTCCCTTTGTTTAAATAAGTTCTTTATATTAGCTTCTATGTGCACCTTTATGTAAGGAATCACTGTGCAGGCCAAGTGTTCCTTTCTCTAGATAACTTATAAGCGTCTGGATAAATTTACATTAGAAATTCAATTAACTTTATATTAAAAGGTCAATTAACTAGGCTATGATAGAGACTGTATTTAATTACTTTTCTTGTAGGGCTTCTCTTCTTGTCCAAGAACAAATGACACTATCAAATGATAGTCTCATTGCCTGTTGGTTGCCTGAAACTCATATGCAAAACACACTGAAAATGACTGTCTTGGTTAAATAAATTAATAGGACACTCTTTGGGCAATTCATCACTCTTATAATCCTTAGACCTTAAAATACCAGTAAGCAATAAGAGAGTATTTTAGCTTAAATGTTGTGTATAAGATCGTTCATGAAAATATCCTTTATTACATGTCCTTGGTTTCTATTTTCTTGGTGAAAGACAATAAAAATAGATTTTAAGTGTTAGTCCTTATTATATTATATCACAGTGTATTTTATGAGACATGAACACATAATAACATGAAAAAGGAGCTATCCCATTCCATTAGAGGGCTCTTAGTTATCTTAGTTACCTTTGTGTTAACATAGGCCACAATTCACTCATGTGATGCTAGAACTCTTATACTTGAGAGACTCAAGAGATTGCTATCATCACTATGCAACAAGTGGTAATATTTGTTACCAAGTGGTTACAAATACTAAACCATCACTCAGTGAATGTTTCAAAAGAAAACAATAAAAAAGAGGAAAGGAGAAAGGAAGATAGGAATAATATATATGACTGTTTTTTATATATTAATATATTAACTCAGGACTCCAGATGACTAGCAACTTAAAAAAAAAGCAAACACAACTCAGGATTTTGACATGAGGCAAAATCCGGGGATGAACGTTTTGTTTTATTTTTTTGCAGAAGGGATCAGCCTGCTCCTTATAGGAGCAGTAATAACGTGCTAAGCACTTCATAAATATTATATATATAATTCTCACTATAACTCTATGAGATCTAATTTATTGTTCCCAGTTTACTGATAAGATAACTGAAGCCTGTGTTTCAGCCAAGGTCACGCAGTTCATTGGTGGCAGAGTCAATCTGCCTTTCCAGACTTTCTATTTTTCCCTAAGATAAAAGCATTGACTCTGTGTAGTGTGACTATGAAAAGCTTACAAAAGGGAACTAGGGAGTGTGCCAAATATTTAGAGGGTGGTTTTGGAACTGAACTAGAAAAAGGAGATGGTTTAGGCAAGTGCAACTTAAAGAGTGGAGACATAAGAGTGTAAATTAACTATGTCATTAAGCATATTTCCCCCCATAGTAATACGCAATGCAGGGAGCTGTGCATTTATTTATATTCCAGTGTATACTTCTTATCTCCTCTTAGACCAGTAACGGTTTGCAAACCAGCATCCAGTCCATGGGCCACACTTTAAGTGGGATAAGTTTAAGAAAGGTCTTATGAAATTTTCTTTTTCTGTGAACAGTTAAATCATTTTGGATAAAAGTTATCCAAATATATCCTATGTTTTGCCATTTATATAAAAGAAAGCCACTTCTTATCTATATTATAGATAATAATGAAGGCTGATGTCCTAAACCCTATAAATCTATGGGGGCATTAATCTTAGTTGGAGTGGTAGTGCTCTCATTAGTTTTAATAAACTAAGCTCTTCCAAAAGCAAAGGGAAATAGCTTTCCTAAAGAATGAACAATGTTGCCATCAAACAACATGATGCTTGGAGTGAAATACCAGTTTTAAAATGTGTTATTCATACCTGCACCTCCGCCAATGCTTAGAATCTTAATTTCTGATTTTGTGTCTCCAATCCTGAAAAAAAAATTATGTGGTTTAAGAAAAATGTGCTAGGTTCTTGGTAAAATCTGATTATCAAGTCTAGTTGAAGAGAACAGACTAATATTATAGTGAATAAAAATTAGGCCAACATAAAAGATTCTAATTTTCGTAGTTATATGGGTGTCTTTAGAAATCTTTAGAAATATAGGTTTCATTCATTAACAATCTTGAACTGATAGACTTTTAGAACAACACTATAAACATCTCAAAAGTAAGATAAACCATTTGTTTAGAATTTATTTAAAGAACAAGAACAGAAAAAGTGGGCCTTTGAGTCTGGTGATATAATTAGCCATTCATTGTATATGGTGATTCATACTGTCTCTGTGATATCTGCCTTCTTTTCTTCCTTCTTGCTAACTTCTTTTCAATAAACAAGTGTTTATTAAACACCTATGATATGCCTATTCTAGGCATTGAGAATATAAAAATGAATAAGATACTACTTTGCTGTCAAGTAAAATGTGAGATAATAAAACTCAACATTATGGCTCTAGTACTGGAAATAGAGTAAAATTGATGGTCTGGAAAACAACAGTACGACTTGCTTTAGATTGATGTAAAAAGGTCAGAAAAAAGTATGAGTGCACAATGACTGCCAAGTTTCCAGCATGGATGATTTGGTGAAGCATGGAGCCTAAAAGGAAGCTGGAGAATATAGTTCAATGGCAAGTTGTCAGTTTTTTCTTTTCTTTCTTTCTTCCTTTTTTTTAAATTTTGTTTTGATAGATCTGAATTAAATAGACATTTGGATATGCAAGATTTTATCTGGGTGAGAGAGAGATCAGGATCAATGATGTATTCTGGAGAATAACTGTCAGGAAGTAATAGTCAAAACTAGAAGTGTAGATTCCATCACCCAAGGACACTGCAAATAGAAGAGTGGTGAGGTGATGACGCAATACCAACTTTTGAAAGTCACTGGATTATGGGAAATATACAAAGTAGAAAAGAAAACAGTAAAGTTCAAAGAGGTGATTAGGAGTATTAGAGAAGGAGAAAGCCATCAGTAGTGTCAAACATGGAAGAGTACTATTAAAAATATAAAAAAAAGAAAAATCTCCACTGAATTTGGCAATATGAATCTTTTTTTTTTTTTTTCCCCTGGCTTTTTATTATCCTTTGTAAAGGTCAGTAGTAGAATGTTTGGTTCATTTTTTTTAATGGTGATTGGTTAATGAATCTAGTAAGTTTCAAAATATCTTTGATAATAGCAGTTTTAAAAGAAGGTTGAGGGCAGAAGTCAGGCAATGCGATTAAAAGCAAATTTGATAAAGAGGAAGAAGACCTAGAGAGATTGTTGAAATAGGATGAAAGAGTGAGAAGAAAAGGGGTGACTGCTAGAGGGGAGACATGAACTGAAAGGTGGTAAACGAGTCTGTCCTCTGGATAAAGAGCCTGCACAAAGTAATGGGATGAAGACAAGGTTAAAGGAAAGTGCTTAAAGAAACTGGAAAGCATAGAGTCAAGGACATCTATGGATGAGTTGCCTTTCTTAGTTCTAATTATCTCCCAACTCATAATTATGAGTCCTGATATACCCATTTCTGTCTATGCTCTTGGTTAATAGAAGAGCTTGTATCTGTGGATATCATAATGGGGCCATGGCTCTGAGCACCCAGGTTGAGATCCCATCCTACTGATGTTACCTTGAGCCAGTTATTTAACTTCTCTGCATATTTATTACCTATGAAATAGAATAATAATATTGCCTAACTTCTAGGATTGTAATAAAGGTATCTAACTCATAGAGGAGTTATGAGGATTAAATGATTTAATTCATGTAAATCTCTTAAAAATGTGTCTGCTCATGACAAGCATTTAACACATATTGGCAATTATTATTATTCTAGGCACAGCTAAGGGATTTACATGAACTAACTCTTTGAATTCTCACAACTTCTCTATTATTATCCCATTTCACATATTATGATAACTAATAATGATTGAAAATTTATTATTTTCCAGGCAAGGATCTAAATGCATTAAATATAACAATAATAACAAAAAATTTTACTAAACTGTAAACTGTAACCCCACCCTTCACCTCTAGATAGGCAAGTGAAGAATTTATCCCTGGGGAAACAACCCGTCACAATGAATAACCTTACATATATTGACATCTGAGAATCTTCCAGCAAACAGCTGAGTCTACATCTAGTTGATACAGTGAACCATCCACTCAACAAACTCATCCCCTACATGTACTCTCCTACATGAGGAGAGTATGAATTACTTTTGAGTGCCTCATTTGATTGGATGGACAATAGAGGCTCATCAGGTAGCTGGGGAGCTCCCCAAACATGAGATAGAGACCAAAGGAAACAAAAACAGTACTCAGAAGAAACATGCAAAGAACAGTAGAAAATTTTACAATAGATAAGACAGGGTATTACATGTGTAAAAGATGAACAGGATGCTATAAAAATATAACATTTCTGGAAATTAAAAAATAGCAAAAATTTAATAGGGCTAAAAGTAAAATTGTAGAAAATTGGAAATATAAGAAAATTAGAGAATGGATTCAGGAGGTCTGGTGTTTGATGACTACAAGTTCTATAAAGAGAAAAAGGGGAGGAATGATTTAAAAATACCAAAGTTTCCCTGAAGGTTATGAATTTTTATTAAAATGCCACATGCAGTACCAACAGAAATGGGTGAAGACAACCCATACCATAACTCATTATCTTAAAATTTCAGTACTGGATATAAGAGAAGGTCCTAAAAGTTTCTAAGTAGGGAAAACAAAAAAACAACAATAAGGTCATAAGCCAACGACGACAAATTTGAATGGTATTGGGTTTCTGAACAGTAACTCTAGTAGCTAAAAGACAATGGAAGAATACCTTTAAATTTCTGATATAAAATCATTTCAGCATAGTCTTATAGCCAAACTATCCAACAAAGATAAGCATAGAATGAAGGCAGTTTTAAACATATAAAGTCTCAACAAAAGAAGGGCATTAGATATAAAATCAGGGCATCCAATACTAGAGAGAGAAGAGAATTTCTAGAAAGTGAAATAAATTCCCTTATCAATAATCGTATAGCAGACCAAGAGAAATCACCACAGACTGGGAAAAAAAGAACAAGAGAACTCCGGAAAAGATGTTCCTCTGGGGAAAAATTAATAGCTTACTTGATCTGTTGGAATATATTGAGAAGAGGTTAATACTTTTGATTGAGGTATAAGTAATGATAGGTACATAGGAAACTAAGAAAAGAAACTAAAAATCAAGACATTAGTTAACTCTAGGAAAAAAGGTGTGCATGAAAGGAAATGTGATTGTAATCTAATGCATTGTTCAATTATGAATAATATGTACAGAGGCAAAATGATATACACTCAAACTATTTAACCAAAGCTTTTGAAATATATTGACATAAGGGAGGAAATGTATATGTTTATTTAGCTATTTTAATACAGTAAACTTAAGAAGGGGAAGAATTTTATTTAGAATTAGGAAAGAATATCACATAAAAAACAACTAAAAGATTTCGGAGTGTTGAAAAGTGGCTGCTTCTGCAGAGCGGGAGTCAGGGATGGGAGTGGGTAGGGCAAGCAACTAGTATTTTTGTTGCTGTTGTTATAAACTTTTTAGAACCATTTGAATTTCAAAAACAATTTTCTAGAATGAAAAATTAAGCAGGCACGTTGCCTACTTATAACTTAGAAATGCCTGTAAGCAGCAATTTTAAAGATGCTTCAACTAAATCTCATTCTCAACATCATCTTTAGGAAAAACTTACTTTTTAAAAAAATGATAGCTTGATTTAGATCATTCCTAATTACATATTACCACTATAATGTAAACTTAGTTATGCATTTGCAAGTTTTTCAGTTTTTCGCAGGTTGTACATTCAATATTCTCAATTAGATTGTATACACCTTGAAGACAGGGGTCATCATTTATTATGTTATATCACTGATGGCTAAAGAAAACCAAGTATCTGGATAAGCTACAGACACAAACACAGACGTTTAGTTCTGCAGAAGAACTCAGAAATTAACTTATTACCTTTCAGAAATAAAAAGACCCAAACAAGTAAACTATTTAATTCCCAGATAATAAATTATCTGTAGTTGCTGTTTGCTTTGGTTTTTGCATCATTATTCTATTACTTTTTAATTATTAATAAATTATATAATATTCTACTTTAAAAAATACATTTAAATTGTATGTCAACTGTAATTGAAACATTTTAAACAATTAAAAACATATTTAAAAACTGAACCATGAAAAATAGAGAGAGAAACAGAATTCTATATATATTTAACAATGTCTGCTCTGGCCAGGCAGAGCTACTATCTTGGTAAAAGCATTTCAGGCCTATAATGGAGAACGCCAAAAAAAGATAAAATATCAGTTTCTTTTTACTGTTGCAAATTGGATCTACAGTCAGTCATTTCTTCCCAGTTTTCCAGCATTATTTCCTGAAGTAGAGTAAGTTACAGCAATCCACCCCTAGATAGGTGATTTGATTATCTTTAGCATGTGGAATCTGTTACTCTCATAATGCTTATCAGCCCTGGCACAAAGTGAACACATTAATCACACATACACACACACAAAAAGCAGTCTGCGAGAAGCATAGGAATTAGTGAGTTTCACTGATAATGGGAAAATGCATTTTTTTAGGACCACATTGCTAATATTAAGTTGAAAGGAAAAGACAATTTTTTTTTTGGAGTGATAACTATAATAATGGATAAGAAAAATGAATTTAAATGGCTATTAGAACTCAGAGGCACCCACTCAATCCTTGGGGGCAAATAGTAATTGGTAATTATTTATATTTGATTCTAATGAAAAGGATATTAGACTCCAACTGGGACTTTTTTGAATGCAAAATTTAGAGGAGGACTGAACAATCTCAGCTCAAAGACTGAACATGGATCTGTGGCTTGAAATGGTTAACGCTAATCTCCGTGCAGCTAGAAATGCTGCACAAATAAGAACCTTTGAATGTTTAAAGCAATTGTCTAAAAGCACCACAGGAAAAGGGGCCCGGGGGCGGAGGAGGAGGGGGAGAAGGGAGCGGGAGTTGCTATCAGTAGCAGGTTCTTATCCCCTCACCCAGCCTCCAGGGCTGGGCTCGACCCATCTATCATTAAAAAGAAAGCACGGAGGTTTGCCCCTTTGACAAACACATCCTTTTTTGTTACCTCGCTATTATGCCTGGCAGCTTCTTGTCGAAGAATTCCTGCATGCACTGGTGTTCCGTGGAATTGTTGAGAAACCTCCGAAAAGACTCCACATATCTGCTGTGGTCAGAAAACAAACTCCTCATGGTAGATGCCATATTTGGTTTTCTGAGGAAGACAGGGAGAGAGGGAAGGTTTAACTTCCCCTCTCCTCCTCTTCCCAGTTCCTTTTTTCTTTCCCCACCCCCGCTAGTTTGTATCCAAAAAAAAAAAAAAGCAAAACTTGATTTAAATGTAACTTGGAAAGGCTGGTACACAAAGCTTATTACTAAGTTAGTCTTTATATGGGAATTTGCACTGATATTTTAACCCCTACACAGTTGTCTTTCAAGAATTGGAGGCAGTAAAGCAAGACAGTAAATCTGCTGCTAAAACTTGTTTTAAAACTGCAGAAGTTCAGAGTTGTAAAAACAAATTACATTCTAATCACTTCCTGTTTTGTCAGCAGCTGCCGAGAGTAAGTTCCAAATGGGAAAGTGGCTGCTTTAAGGGCCAAAGGTGACAAACACAGGAATAAACAGCCAGCTACAAAGCTATAAGGCACTTTGTGAAATCTCCAACTGCTGAAATCTTTGACTTGACTGTCATCTACCTCCCTGCTTTCAGCTGTTGAACTTTAAATTCATCTGTAGCATTTTTTGAATGCTGATTAATTTGTTGTGATTTAGGAAGTCTTTTTTAGAAAAAGCTATCAGAAAGGAACCAGAAAACTATTTGCTACAAGGTCTCAGAATCATATGGGAAAATGAGAGGATTGCCAGAGAAGTTTCAAGGCAAGAATGCAGGGCACCAGGAAAAAACCTGGATCCTTCGAAAGCCTTCCCAAAGTAGGATCATAGTTACTTAGAATTGGATGAGCTTTTGGAGGTCCAGTGGTGTCACTCATGGAAAGATCCCCACACTGCACCTTTTATCTGAGAAGTGATCTTTAAGCAACCCACCCTTTGTCTAACATAGGATTATTAATAATAGTACCCGACTCATAAGGAGTTGTGAGAATTAAAAGAATTAACTAACATACATCTCTTAGAAATGTGTCTGCCTAAACCATTCCCTCCCTCTTATTCGATTCCAAAATTGACCTCTAAGATTCAGCACACTCACAAGCCCTCTCTTATAGGCATTTTATGATCTCACTACTTTCAGAGCTGGGGCTTTTATCCTAGGGGAAATGGGGAGTCTGGAAAGGCTAATTGATATGGGTGTGGTTTCTGACTCTGCTACTAATGAACTGTGTGACCTTGGCAGAAACATAAGCTTCAGTTTGCTAAGCAGTAAAATGGGAACAATGAATTATATCTCATAGGCTTGTAGTAAGAATTATATAGATAATGTTTATAAAGTACTTAGCACATTATTACGGCTCCTGGAAGGTGCAGGCTGGTCTCTTCTGCAATAATAAAACAATAGAAAAGTTATTTTATTTATAGACACTGAAAATTGAGTTTCATATTTTCACATATCATGAAATATTACTCTTCTTTGGATATTTTTCAGTCATTTAAAAATATAAAAGTTATTCTTAGCTCATGGGCTGCACAAAAACAGGTGCTGGGCTGGATTTGGCCTATGGACCCTAATTGTCCAGTTCCTAATCTAGCTCCGAGGCTTACATACTTTTGCTACTTAACTCTCATCTCTATTCAACTAGCCTCACCTTCCTCAAACTCCCTAAGCTTTTTTTTTTTCTATTACCATTTTCTACTCTTCTCTTTATAACTCAGCTCAAATCATTTATTCATGTATTTATCTACTGAACAAATATTTACTAAAGATCTACTCTGTGCTATTCTGCTGAGAAGAAAGATTATTGACCTTATCTGCAAAAGTTCCTCCCAAAATCTACCTGTTATGACGCGAACAATTCTAAGACCCCACAGAGCCAATTGAGATTAATTATGAGCCTTTCTTTATTAGCAGGCTGGGGACCGACTATCTACCACTACCACCAGGGTTAGAGGAGATCAGCCCTGAACTCCCAAAAAAGGCAGCTCATAAAGCCTAAAACCACACCCTGGTTTAACATCAAACAAGCAAACAGATTAACCACACCCTAGTTAACATCAAACAAGCAAGCAGATTACAGAAGCAGAAATTGGCTGTTAGCATATCTTTGCCCAGAACCACATCCTTAACATACCTTTAACTAAAATCCGATGTTTTCCCAAGTCCATCATCTGCCTCACTTGTTGTCAAATCTTCTCCAACAATCTACTCTTCTTGTGAGTCTCATTAAAGATTTTCTTTTTATTTTCATTGCTTCCACCCCACTTAAGATTCTCTCTTTTTTTCTACTTACTGTGCTGTTTTTTGTACTGGCTTTCCTGCGTTTAAGGAATCACGCAGATACTAGCCAATTTTTTATTGCCGCTGCCAAATTCAGTTTCTTAAAGCACAGTTTTGATAAAGTCACTTCTCTCCCCCCAAATGTTTACTTTCTCCCGACTGTCCCCCAAGTTAAGTCCGAAACTCATTCTTTGACCCTCCCCCCAAATCATACGGACTTATATTCCATTTTCCTTTAGGCTTGCCATTGCATCCCTTCAAACTGTGCAGCTTATCTAGATATATCCCTATGCTTTCCTGTCTACAGCCTCTCCTCACAATAGTTCCTCTACAATGCCCTGCTTCTCCTCTTACCGCACCTACTGAAAATTTTCCCATTCTTCACGTTCTGCCACATTCATGAAGTCTTCCAAATTTCCCTCAAAAGGATTATCACTTATACTCTTCTAGCTTCTTGTAACTTTCAAAGCATTTGTCTTTGTGTTATAGTATATAAATATATTTGCCTTATTGTTACTGAACTCAACAGGTTCATTTGCCTGTGCACATCAAAGTCCAATGTGACACAAATAGGAGTTTGCAGCAAAGAAAGTAAAGGTTTATTTAAGGGAATAGCACCAAGCTCAGAGACACAGATGAGTTAGTGCTCAAAGACTTGGCTCCTTGATGTCTTCTAGGGGATAATTGATATAGGGGAAAATTCATTAGTCATGGTAGCTAAGGGAGCTGGGCTCGTGGGCTCTATTGATTGGTCAGGGCTAGGGTAGGAGGCAGTTGATCATTACATCAGGTCCTGATGTCAGTCATGGTGTCATTCTGTATGGTTTCGATGGGGATGTGGCCGGTAGGGTCGTTCTGCCTCCATGCGTCTGAAGCTGAAACACAACTTTGACCAAATCTCTGTTTCTGTGGTCAATAGACCTGTGGCTTTGTTCCTGATACTGTTTGATGCTGACTGGAATCTGATGTCCTAAAGGTATAACAGTTAAGGGGGTGGACATGCAGTATGTGCCAGGGTGGAAGGATAAGGAAAGAAAAGAAGCAAGTGAGTCACGGTGTCATCAGACGAAATAAGGCCAGTTTAAATCAAGGAAAAAGAGAAGAGAAAAAGTCACTTTAAAGAAGCTAAGTTATTGCATGGTTACATCATCCGCCCTGCTAGTCCCCATGAAATTGCCAGTTCATAAAGATAGGAACTGAATCACAACTATTTTCCCTGATGTTGCTACCCACAGTAGCCTTTTGGTTATTTTAAATGATTAAACTTGTGCTTGATCATTTCTACTATTGAGGTGCTCTCCATCATCAGATGTTCATCCTTCTCATTGGACAACTCAATACGTTATTAATACAACTATAATTCCATTTATTGAGTACTTCCAATGTGCCAGGAATTGTGTGGATCTTTTCAAATTTAGTATTGGATTTTTACTTTGCAGTACCTCTGTGAGCTTGACTATATTAGAGATGAGAAAACTGAGATTCTAAGTGGTTAGGTCCTTTACTCAAGGACACCTAGCTGAGAAGTGGCAGGACTAGGCATGTGATTCTAGTCTGTTAAATTGCAAGACCAGTGCTCTTACAGAAGTCTTTATATTCAGCCTAAATCTGCTTCCATATAACTTATACATAGTACTCCTATCTCTGGTTGCTTAAATTAAACAGAATGATTCTAATTCCTTTTTAATTTAAAACGCATTGAAAAATTTGAAATTGTTTCATTGGACTGCTGTTACAAAAATACCATAGACTGGATGGCTTAAACAACAAGCATTTAGTTCTCATAATTCTGGAGGCTGAGAAGTCTAAAATCAAGGTGCCAGCAGCTTTGGTGTCTGGTGAGAGCCTGTTTCCTGGTTCTTAGACAACCCTTTTCTCACTGCCTTATTACATGTGTTGGAAGGGTCAAGGAAGCTCTCTGAAATCTCTTTTGTAAAAGCACTTAATTTCATCCATGAGGGCTATACCCTCATAAACTGATCACCTTCCAAAGGTCCTAATACCGTCGCATCGTGGGTTAAGACTTCAACCTATGATTTCGGGATTACACAAATATTCAATCTATAGTAGTTCCTAAATTATTTCCTTTTCAATGTAGCTTTATATAATCTATTATGCTGGTCTCCTCCTTTGAAAAAACTTTGGTTTGTCAGGTTGCTTTTAAAAAATGGTGTTTTGAAATAAATACAACATCCAGAGGCTACCTAAGTGGTGCAGACTGTTACTGTTCAGGCTTAGACTTTTTCGCATTTTCCAACAATGTTCTGTCCAATCCAAGTTCTTTCAGATGCTATTAGGTGCTCTCCAAAAACTGGGTTTCATGGTCAAATAATTTAGAAAGTACTGTCGAAGAGGAATTTCCAGGATTTTCATTAAAAGCTAATCAGCCTTTTGTTCTGTAAATATGTTTGCTGCATGAAGAGCTCACTTGCATTTTGTCCTACTTGCCCTTTGCTCAACAAATGTAACTGTCTGTACCCCTTAGCAGCTCTTGTAACCATCAGTACTCCGGCCCTTCCACCAATGTTACTGTTTGCAATCATAGCAACTCCCGCCCATTTGTAATAGTCTGAGTTCAAACTGACCAATCAGCTTGTGTAAAAATCCTGTATGTAAGGAATGTTGTAACTAAGCTCGCCCAGACTCTTCAGAGTACTAGCTCCTCTGGGACCGCGTGTAATAAATGTGAGTTCTCCTCCTTTCCAAGTTACTGCTTGGTTTTTCGCTGGTCTGATTTTGGAGTTTTTCCACAACTCTGTATTTAATAGCTTCCTCTGGATAGTTATAATGCACATTAACATATTAAAGATTCATAAAACCTTTGTCACATGCCCTGTTAAAATGCAGGTACTTTATGTCTGTAGCATTTCTCTGATTAGTCCTCAGCCTCTCCAAAAAAAAAAAAAAAAGAAACAGATAAAGAAAAAGGAAATCTTGTTGCTTTCAGCATGACTTTCACTTACCTAAAACTGGTTTCAGCAATCAATTTTCCTTTTAAAATTGCATATATAATATCTGCTTTGTAATCCATAATGCATTTGTAATGTCTCTGGGGATTAAAACATCTAGCTGGCTGGTTGAAATTACTAAATTTTAAGAATCTTCTTTTTCTCTTTTTTTTGAAAATTGGGGCAACAGTAGAGTGTATCTATCATTTACCATGGCTGCTGAAGTTTACTGGCAATCACATCATTATCGCTTTTATAAATTATTTTAGTACATTGGGATGTGATTTTTC